TTGCCTGTGGGTTTAAGCTGGGTGCCACCATAATACAAGGGGCCCTTGCTCAGGACAGCTAGGAAACGAAGGAAAGAGCTTGGTGCTCTGTGGGCAGTGGGGAAGAAGCTAAGGTTGAATCTGGCTGCTGTTCTGCAGTTATATGAAGCGGCGTATAGGGGGGAGGCTGGTTATGAGATGACCTCAAAGGCACCACTGCAGGTGTTACAAGGCATTTCAGCAGGTGTAGAAAAAGTTGTTCACTGTTTTGCTTTTGTGCTTTTGTCAGTATTTCCATAATGCATGTTGAAGGAGGATTTTGAGTTTGAATTACGGTTGCATGACACTAATGCTGGAGTTGTAGGTTGTCTAAAAGTTTATTCTTTGCTTTTCTCTGTTATTCTCTATTAAACTATTCGCTATTGCTCTATTAAAGGGCTAACAGTGATTATGATGAGTGTTGGGTTCAGATCATGTCTGAAGCCAGTTCTGATCTGCATATTTTTTGTTGTTGCTTTTGACTAATTGCTGTTGTTAGTGAAACAGGCCACCGCTCTTTTGATCTCCTAGCAGTACCCTTATCATTGTTCAAGATGAGGACCCCAGCTGTGATGTCATCGGTGTAATTAACCTCTTTACTGAGGACTTTAGGGACAGGAATTGTTTAAAGCTGTGAAGATGTCAGGAACTTTCTGCAAGGGAAGGGAAATGTTAATGAAGACATCCTTAAAAAAAGCAGTTCTTTATTCACCATAAATGCTATAATTCCTTTGAAAACCAGGGCTTCCTGATGGTTTACAACTTTAGCTTTTTAGTGGTATATCTTCGCAGACATTTATGCAAGTTCTAATGGTATCAGTATAAAGAGAGGATCAAGTGGAGTTAAATATATCTCAGTTAGTGCATTTAAGAGACCTTCTTCATGTCTATTTAACATCTCAGGAGCACACCTTGGCAGATTTTGGTCTTGCTTTGTGGTTTTTAATTTCTGCTTGTAGAATGGAATAAGAGTAATCGTGCGGTCTGCCTTGGTCAGCAGTGCATCACAGGAACCAGAGCTTAGTGCCTATCCCAGGCAGCACAGGGCAGCTGGCCTGGATGCGCCCTGGGTGGGATGCCAGTCCATCACTGGGGACCCACATTATGGGCGATTTAGACATGCCAGTTAGCTTAACTACATGTCTTTGGACTGCGGAAGGAAATCTGTGTGACATGGGGGAGCATATAAACTCCACAACACAAAGCAGAGGTGAAATTCGAACCCCCGGCCAGGGAGTTGTGAAGCACCAGCGCTACCCACTGAGCCGTCATGCACAGGTGGATCATTTAGGCGTGCGATAGCGTTAGCAAAATTAAAATCACACGCTAGAATAATCATAAAACTGGGATAAAACCTTTGCACATAGTGGGGATCTGCAGTTCTGCTTCGTATAGGACTCTGTTAGAGTCTACTTGTAGTAGTATATAACCACTAGCTAGCCCAATTGACAAAGACACTCAGGGAAGATAAAACACTTTGTATTTCATGGAAATTAAGTCAGTGTTGGGAGAGCCAAAGTGGCCTGTTGCAGTACATTTGTTACAAGAGCGCTGATTTGTCACAAGGCCCTTTGATTTACGAAGGACCGGACAGAGCTGTCCTCTCCATGAATTGCAAACCCAGTGGAGTCTGGAACTGAGTCATCCAGTCAGGTGTCCATCAGGCAGAATATTACTCGTAATTCTACTGGACTTGAATGGCAAGTAGGAATCTTTATGTTTTTTTTCTTAGGAGAGCAGACAGACTCACTGTGGGGTGCCTGCTGCATGGCCTGAGCATCTCCTAGATCAGCTTCTGGACTGGGTCTGACTTAATATCCATACTTACAGTTTCTGAGTATTCACTACTTAATGCAGAATACCCATCTTTTTGATTTTGGCTTAATTCTTTGCCTTTCCTGCTTTCCGCCATGTTCAGGGAATAGCTCGCCACAATTGCGTCGTTCTTACCCATGTACAGGCATTTTCTGAATGTTCATCCTTTAATGATCACTTCTCCAAGTGCGAGGCGCTGAGACGTGGCATCAGATGACTGCTGATATGACTGATGAGGATCATCAGGTGCTGCATTTGTCTGGGTTATGAACGCTTATGATAAGGGACAGATGCCAGTGCTTAAGTGTATCTGCTAGTAACAGTGTTTACATCTACTGTGCTCCATTGATGCATATGCAAATTTATATGATGATTACAGCATCATATGTCATAGAGTCATCGATAGAGATCAATAGGGCAATAACTAGGGAAAGTGCATAGTACAAAAGGAAACCAGCAACATTCTTTGCAATTGCCCAGTACTCTACAGAAAAGACTGGTCCAGTGTCAGTCCTTGAGCGAGAGAAAAAGCGGGGTATTATTCAGATGGAGCGTTCTGAGGAGTAAAAGGATGTTTTTGTTAAAAGCCTGTATCTGTCTCCTCTCTGTCAAAGTGAATCAGACGCATCTATTTTCTCTCTGTGCACTAATTCTCAACTAGTCTGAGAGCATAATGATTAAGCTTGCTGCGCTTTCAAAGTCACCTATGAAGTTAGCCAGCTCGACACATCAATATCTCTACCTATGTAAGTAAAATATTCTGTGCATTTTTGTAGAAAGAGAAATGGTTGTATTGTTTAAGACTAGTGAAAGAGTTATTTATAGATATATCTACAGTACTGTGCGAAAGTCTGAGGCAGTTGAAGAAAATGTTTGCTCAAAAAACAACAAAATTTAACATTAGAATATAGGTAGGTGAACAGTTTAAAAGACAATAAAAAGTAGCAACAAGAATTCTCCAAAAAGTCACTAATATCTTATTAATAACTCAACGAGGTATAGATTAGAGAAACAAGGGGGGCTAGTGGTCGAGTCTAGAAACACATGGGTGTATTGGATAGTTACTGCAAATACTGAGATGACTTTAGGAGAGGTTTTTCAATGGCTGAGCTAACACACGTTGACAAATATTCTTTTACAGCATCAATTTAACATAATTTTCTTTGACTGCCTAAGACTTTCGCACAATACTGTATTTCCTGAAAATGCTTTCATTATTCGCTAACTGGTCTGATAAACAATCATTTGGCATTTTGCTAAAAATAAAACTGAAAATGATAATTTCCCTGCTCAGCTGACAGATGTCTAGGAAATGTACTTCTAGATTTTCTGTTACACACAGAATAAAATCTGCTGTGTGTTATTCTGAAAAGATAACCAATAAGGAATATGTAGCACATTAAATAAAAACAATGAGATTATGAGATAAATAAACATAATGAGAATTTGGTCATTTTGGTAATATGATTATGCTGCAGACGACTGAAAAGTGGTAACACAAATAAGAAACTTGAGGCAGGTCTTTCGCCACACTGTCCATTGATTAGTTATTGACCATGTTGACACTCTGTGGCATGATGCCATAATCTCTTATGTTACGAACTGAGATGGGATGGATTTGTCAGGCGGCAAATTTTTTCTATAAATCATGCATGCGGTTTTCCCTCACCATACATACAGACTACTGAAAAATACATTTCAGGGGACACTTTAGGACAGTTTGTAGGGTTCTAATGCCAGGAGCGAAGGAAGATTTATTAGACTCAAAATTCGCCAGCTGTGTACTGAGCGGGTGAGACATTTGTGTCCTACAGATACGCCCTAAAATGATGGCAATGTCTGAGACATGATGAAACTGTGAGTTAAACTGGCTAGGAAATAACATCAGTAAGGGGTTTATAAAACCGGAAACGATTCACAGCATAGACAGCTATGGAAGAAAGAGTTATAAAGGAGAAAAAATAAATTAGAAAGTTGAATTATAAAAGCAGTAGCATTGAAAATGTAGTCATCCCTTTTCCCAAGACATGGCATGCCCTATTAATGGGGGAACAACAGTTAAAATAATAGTGTTTTATTCTTCTTTGCCCCCCTAGTGAGAGAATCCACTTTTTTTTTTTTTTTTTTTAAACAAATTTCTACTAAGTGCTGTGTAGCAGATGATTCCCCATGTCTCGCGGGAGGGTTGGAAAGTGCTCCGTGCCCCGCGGCGCTGAAAACCATGCCACAGTCAGTTCGTTGAGGTCAGCGCGTAATGCGGCTGTGCGGAGGTAGTCTTACTGCGGGGGCTGAACCGAACACCACCCCAGGGATCGGCGATGTCTGCGGCCACCTTATCAGCGCTCCTAGCTGCTGCACAGCGGACGGCCGCCTGATCCCGAGCTCACATCGTGTCATGTGACTGAAGTAGGGGTTACAGTGTGGGTTACTGATAGGTGAATGAATACAAATAAATAAACCGTGCTTCCATTACCATTTTTTTTGTATTATATTTTAAAGGGATGCAGATCTATCATAGTTTATGATTACAAAACTCTTTTAAAAAAATTTATTAGAAAACATGTGACCTGTAATCTTATGTATTGCAAATAAACTAGCACGAAATTAAACCTACACAATTAGAAGGCTTTTTTTTCTAAAAATAAATAAATAAATAAATAAATAAAGTAAAACGCTGCCATTTTTACTCACTGGCCGCTAGAGGATAGTGTTGCTCTATTTTCGAGGATGATATTCTAAAAATGTTCTTGACTAAATGTGTCAAAGGTATGCTGGGTATTTTGCAAAGGTTTATTACACTTTAATTGGCAACTTTTTGTTAGCATTAGTAAGGTAGTAATATCTTAATGTGTTTATTAATAAATATATAATAAAGAATGGATTTCTCTCTATGATTCTGTTTCATAAAGGTGACAAGTTGATTTTTATGTGTTAATATCCAGTCGTACATTAGAAAATTAAACAAAACCACCAAATTAATGGCTGCGTATTTTTTTTCACCTCAAGTGTTGGTCTTTTTTAGCCTGAAGTCATCTCCCCAATCGTTATCCTCAGGATTATAAGGCAGTAGGGTGTTTAATCATCAATTTTTCTTTTTTTTTCCTGGAATGCAAATTCTCTGTAATGTAATAATTCTGAATAATGCATTTTTCCTCATTTCCTCTAAGGGTAAAAAGGGGCTTCTGCTGATTAAGGAGCTGGCAATGGTACAAAAAGGTTACTGAAACAGAAGACGAAGTTGGTCAGCACACAACAGACTGAAACCTCTGGACTCTGCTGGAAAATTTAGTGTTATCCGTTGGTCCTTCCACCTTTGAGATGCCCTCCCTTCCCAATGATGGAGGTGTGTAATCTGGAGTAATAAAATGTTCAATTGTGTTTTTATCGCATCTCGTCGTCACATTGCCAAATGTGCTTCGTAATGTGATGTTTGTCTCTGACCCCTTTAATGTACGCCACCTGCAGAAGATCAAGGGACGTCCCCTATGAAGCCACCTCCCATGCTGTCGTATCAGAATGTTGGGAAGAGGAAAGGACGCACAAAGAAGAAGAAGGGAATCATCACGGCCAACATAGCTGGGACCAAGTATGAAATTGGTATGCAGTGCAGCTGTGGCAAAAACCAATATGAATAAATATGGTGGGTTTAATATGCAGTATGTCTGCTGGCAGGCAGCTGACTGACTGTATCCACACAATCAGTTAAAAATGACCAGGTACAATAAAATATATAAATATATAATATAAAATAGCACAACGTCTTTGCAGGACTGCATGAATAGCTATGTTTCGTCTGATTTTTTTCTGGCCTTTGGGAAAGTTTTTTTCCAAATGGATTCAAATGACTAGTACTGGACCTTCCAGTTTGTAAAGACATACATTACATTAATTAAGACCTTGTTTTGTTAGGGCACATGAATTTTTCATTAGTCGCTGAATAATGAATACTTATTGGATTAATGTCTAAATGCACGAGCCACCTATCTCTCATATATTCAGTTTCCACTAGAATTTAAATGCATTATGGACTATTAATTCATCTTTTTGAGAAGGCATTAGGAATTTCAGCACTGCGGCCAGATGATTAGTAGAACATATTACTTCAGTCTGTAGATACACGAGGTTTGAAATTGATGCCTTAAACCAAGTAGAAGGGAAGAATATGAAGTACAGATAATTCAGGACGGTCAGGGTGAACATTGTTAGGTACTAAAGGCAGTATAATATTTAGTTTTAGTATTCATTTCCTTAGTAGATATCCTCATTCTGATTGACACCCGAAAGGCAGATCAACAGAAAAAAAATTGGAACACGATTCAAAGAGCCGTGACAAGGTTAATGACTACTTGAAAAACAGCAACATACAACCTAGTGGGACATGGAATTTACAGTGGATAATGGCGCAGAAGAGCTGGGCTGGTTGGTAGGGGCAGCCGATGCCCCCAAACACCTGACCTCGCGGCACAGGAAGCTGCTGATGTGAGCTTAGTTAGTGGATCCGTTAGCGGACATTAATATCATAATATAATGTGTTAGACAATGCTACTCTTATACACGGTTTATTCCATCTTAAAGTGTGTTGTGACTGTATTGTCAAAGTCATTATGAAAGTACATTTTCGATCGTTGTATTTTCCTTGAATTATTAAAAAAAGACTTGGTGTTTTGTGCTCTCAGTGCGCATCGTAATCGGCGAGATGGCTTTCCTGAAAACGAAAGACGAAGACGAGACGGCCAATCTCATCTGGAACGACTCTGCCGTGCAGCACGAGAAGATTGCTGAGCTCAGGAACTATCAGGTGAAGCCCGTTTATTTAAAGAGGCGACGTGGCGTGTGGGTTGGGTGGCATCGGGTCGTCTTACAGAACCTCGTGCGGAAGTACGCTCGTTTACGGTGCTTACAGGGTTTTAACTTTCTGAGCATTTTGTGGGATGTGAGCCTGGTTATCAGTCCATGTCTTAACCACTAGGCCACCTGCTGTCCTTATTTAGCCTTAAGAGAGTACATCGTTTTTTTTTCTTTTTTTTGCTTAATACCTTCACAATGACTAGCTAAAGTTAATGGGGGATCAGAATAGATTTGAGGAGGGCTCACAGGTTATAGAAGGAATGTAATTTTTGCTACTTGGGGATTAGATGTGGGTAAGATGAGGTAAGCCTAATTACATGAAAGTCCAGCAGGGGGAACCCCATTGCTTGCAAGCAGTTTACCTTAAGGATGAAAGGAGGGAAAGTTCTGCTTTGCTTAATGGGGAAGCTCTATGGTGCAGTGCACCTGCGGCCGTAACCTAAAGCAGAGGCCCGAGACCCAGCAGCACGTCCCTGGCTCCGGCTGGACGGCCAGATTTGAGCATATCGCCAACAAGATACAACATGTATATGCTTGTAAAAAAAATACACCAGTACTGTCATCTGTGTTTTGGGTATAATTTCGAAGTTGTAAATCAGCTATAAATAAATCAGGAGTTGGGGTTACATGTCAGCGCTAATTCTCGCGTTTGTCAAATGAAGTATATGTATAGTTTTTCAATCTTAACCAAACACAGAGGGCACTCAAACGCTCTCAGAGGACCTAATTAATGCAAGAGCCCAAAGAACAGATAAAGATGCCTTGATCTTTTTCACTCGTCACCTATTTATCATCCTGCCAGCTGCAAGCACAGAAAATCTTTTTTTTTTTTTTTTTTAATGAAAGTTCCAGATTATTAAAAACCTATATATATTTTTTTTAAATTTGGGACCATATGTGAGGTTTCTGAGACTTCTGAAATTAAGCATCAGATGTTAGTTTTTCTTCTGGAGGTAGTTAAGCTTCTCCAGTCGCCTATACGGGACCTGGCACCTCTGTTCTGCATCAACTGTTATATTACTCATGGCTGTAATGATTCATTAAATTGACCGGAATGAAGGTGGTTTACCAGACAAATGGAACAGAAGGCTGGTGTGATGAAAAGTTGTATTTCCACCGTTTGACTTTGGTATAGAAATGCTTCAGGGTTCATGCACCATCCACCTCTTTTTGCAGAAGTCCTGTCTAAAGGATTTGCTAAGGACTTCATCTATAAAACACATATTCACTCATGCTGGAAGTCATAGGTTCATAAAGATCTGTTTATTTTGCATCTCACTCCTATGATGCCTGTCACACTTAGCTGTTTCTCGGAGTGATTGTAAGAGTTCTTCAGGGTCTCAGGATCCTAATTACTGGTGTCTCAACTGGATAGTTTTTGATTTCTTTCACAGTCTGTAAAATACATGTTCTTGTTTTTTTTTTTTCCCACTGATTTGTTCTGAAAGTTTGCTGTCAAGCTGCGGTTCATATGAGCCTAATTAACGGCTCTGTTCAGCCTCATTTGGTCAAAGTATACAGAAAACCCTTTTTTTTAGCATTCAAAGCAATTCATTCATCTGTCACTGCCTACAATTGCAGGAGCTCTGATGCAGAACCAATTACTCTGCCCTGAGGAGGAGAATTGATCGTTTTTTTTTTTTGTTTTTTGTTTTTAAATTAAAAACTATTTGGTAAACTAAATAAGTGTTAGGAAAGGTCTTATAGTCACCTTTTGTTTTGAGGCCGTAATTGAGCATAAATGTCAGAGCATTGTAATTTCGCTTCAAGCCCCGTGCTTTTTCCGAGACATTTTCTTGGTGTTGGGGGAAAATAACTTAATAGGTTTAACAACATTATTATTCTGTCATTTTGTCATTTATCACTACAGAGAATTAACCATTTCCCCGGGATGGGAGAAATTTGTCGGAAAGACTGCCTGGCAAGAAACATGGCCAAGTAAGTGTTTGTGTTGGATGGCATCCCGCTGTGGCCGTGAAGGTAGGCCGTGTCGGAATACAGATGGTACGGTGTCCCTTTCCTTCTGTGCAGAATGATAAAGAGCCAGCCTCAGGAATATAGCTTCATCCCTAAGACCTGGATCTTTCCTGCCGAGTATACCCAGTTTCAAAACTATGTTAAGGAGCTACGGAGGAAACGCAAGCAGAAGACCTTCATCGTGAAGCCAGCGAATGGCGCCATGGGTCATGGGTACGTTTGTTGGTAGTCCTGCTGGACTGGCTCTAGTCCTCATTGGTGTTGAAGGGTTATGGCACACTTGACGGTGGGTAAGTTTGTTAGTGACAATGATTTATTGACTGACTCTGAGCCTGGACAGGGCTGAGGGGTTAGGGCACACTAAGCTATGGGTAAGTTTGTCGGTGATGATGCTCGTCTGAGTGACTCTGAGCCTGGGCAGGGCTGAGGGGTTAGGGTAAGCTTGGGCAGAATTTCTACAGCTGCTGCCTTATTACTCGAAGACCCAGTTTTCATTTTTCTCACCCGAAAAATTAGCTTAAAGACACAGTCATGGAAAATCTATTTCTCAGAGCTCTGGGCTTACAATTATTGAGTCTCCATATAAAATGCTATTAGGACATTGCGAGGTTATGTTTCATTTGAACATATTGCGTCAATTAAGCGAGTAAACACCTCAGGGCTAGAGGTAATATCTTAATTACAAATCTATAATGTTAACATATTCCGACTTTATTGCCTGAAATATTTTTCTTCTAAAACCAGTTGTTTACATATTTCCATTTATTTGGAGCCGTAATGTTAAATGTGGCACATTTGTGGAAGAAAGATATATTTGTACTTGTAACCTGACGGCAGGCGAAGTGTTAGTTCACAGCAGTGTGTTTAGAAAGGTCAGTAGGGTGAGTTGAGTCTGCTGGTGGGTTCGGCTCATTTCTCTGGTTGCGGTAGAAAATGGCAGCATCTCAGGCACAAGCTGAAAGGCGCTGTACTAACACTTTAGGCCAATAGATGGAGATATTGATACGCTGAAGTTATAAGCCTGCGCTTTTATTTTTCAAAGTCCCTCAGGTCCATGTGGATCACTGCTGGTATTATTGTACTGTAAGCTGTTATTTATTAAAGAATAAAAGTCTGCAAAGGCTGAATTATTACTATACATTAAGAAAGTGAAAGATAATTTAAGGTGAGTTTAGCAGGGGCTTTTGAAGGAGGATGAGAGATTAGATTTGAAAATTCACAGTGTGATACAGGAAATTAAGTTATATCTTCCACTGTAATTTATTTTCGGTCTGGAAGCCAAATGAAGTTATTGTTTATGTCTGAACTGAAGCTTGTTAAAAAGCATCAGGTTTAAATGCAGAATCCCAATGGCACCAAATTAAACAGGCACTGAGAGTGCTTTTTTGATTACCTGACAGCAGTGCTCATCAATCATGTCCTTTAATTTACTGCTACACCTACAAACAGGTTTAACCCAGTCCTCGCCTGATGTCTCATCAAATAGACCTTTGCATATTTACGAAGGTGATAATTCCCTTGATTTAACTATCACGTTTATGCTGGATTATTTATTTGTGCTTAAATGAAGTGGTGTGGATTTTGAGCAGCATCTGTGTTTGGAAAGTTAATTCATTTTTAACACACCTTTGCTTATTTTTATGTGGATTTTACCTATCAACATTTTCCTGTTGTGCGCTGTTTGTTAGCATCTGTGTATTTAGGTGTTTTTATATATATAATCTATTGTACTGTTTTGTTTGCCTAAACTATATGCAAGCTGTTGAAGAAATGTTCCAATAAATCACAGCAAAAGTGAAAGCGATAGGATGCAAAGCAATCTGGAACCCCACCTGGAGCGCAAGTCCTCCACCATTATTTTAAAAGTTCAGCCAAAAAACTGGGATTATGCTTTTGGGCTGGAAGCCTGTTACCGGGCTGTGGTGTAGTGGTACTGAATTCTCCTGGAAAAGGAATAAGGAAAGTGCCGTTGGTCTAAGCAGTCAGTTAATGAGATTCTTCTTTTGTTGGCTTGGAATTGTAACAACAAATAAACAAAGCCAAGCGCTTTTCAGTATTAATAGATATGTTTTGCCAATGGCATCTTGTTCCCTGAGTCAGTCTTTGGGGAGCAAACTGATTGAATCCCTCATTTTTGTCTCCATGTCAGGAATAGCTTGCTTGCTTTCCACACCACCAGTGACAAGGGGTCAATTCGGGGACATTTTATTACCTTCTGAAAAGTCCCAGTCTGTCCGTTATCCTGTTCAGAGTCAAAAACTTTGCAATTTAATGGTTTGGGTTTTTCGTTCAAAGTTCACCATTACTGGCTTACATTCTGGGAAACTCTGAAAGCATCACTTAGTGAACGTATGCAATGTGTGTCTGTCGTAGGATCTCTCTGATAAGAAACTGTGAGAAACTTCCAGCTCAAGAGCACTTCATCGTCCAGGAGTACCTTGACAAGCCTTTTTTAATGGAGGGCTACAAGTTTGACCTGAGAATCTACATCCTGGTCACATCCTGCGATCCGCTCCGCGTCTTCCTGTACAACGATGGCCTGGTGCGGATGGGCACAGAGAAGTACCACACGCCCAACGAGTCCAACCTGGTGAGGGAGCTGCATGTGCCAGCTGTCTCATTAAACATTAAAACCACTCCTTGGGTTCCTGCGTTGCCTTCCACAGCCCCCTCCATCGCATGCAGATCAGATTCTGTTACACACTGTCTGACACATAAAAGTGCTGCCTGACAGAGTGAGATTAATGAAGAATCTTTTACACCCTGATTGCACAAACAAAGCAGCAACTGGGGAGGGTGTGAAAGACTGAGACAGGTTTGGGAGACTCTTCGATTCCTACTTGTTATAGGTCCCAAAGCACCAAGAAAAGGGCAAAAGGCTGACACTGAATATGCACGTTTTAATGGAAAATTAGCAGAACTCCTGTCTTTATGCTGCACTGAATGAGGCTTAATGTATCGGCCATTTACAGTGATGGAAATGCAGTGTTTGATGTCCCTTTTCTCCCCACAAAGAATCAGCTGTATATGCACCTGACAAATTACTCCGTGAACAAACACAACGAAAACTTCGAACGAGACGAGACTGTAGACAAAGGGAGCAAGAGGTCCATCGGATGGTTCACAGAGTTTCTCCGCACCAACGATTATGATGTGGCCAAATTCTGGGGAGATGTTTCTGTAAGTGCTCCCTAACCTCACATCGTAAATATTTTTGTTTTGTGACGACTTGGGGTTTAGTGACACTTCTGGGCTTACCTTGAATAATCAGACATAAGTTAAGCCTGTATCCTGCTGTGTTTCACACTATGCCATCTTTATGTAGTGGGTCCAGTGTTACACTTTTCTAAACCATATAAAGTATGTTATAATTTTTATCTTTTTTTCTTATATAGCATAGTGTGTAGTGCTTTTCGGCATGTTTGTTATGAGAATCTTTCATATAAAAAGATTTTGGAAAACAAAACATATGTCCCCAATTCTGAAAAACATGGAAAATGGATATATGATTAATTTATGGATTTCCTGAACTAAAGAAAAAAAAGGATTAAAAAATTCTGGTTGTTATATGTTTTATGTTAATGACACAAAACAAGGTATAATTGCATATGCACATGCAAATGTTATTCTTGTTACGTCCAGCACCAAAATAATGCGGCAATTACCACAGCTCTTCTGTTGAATGCAAAAATACATTAATGTAATTAGGTATGGCCTTATTAATTTTTCTGAATTGACTGCAGGATAATGACTCAGATTATTTATTACCAAATTATGAATGATCTGCTATGTACATTTTTTTTCTAGGTAATTTTTATGTAATTTTTTTTGTCCTTGAATGTATAGCTTTTCTGGTTCCTCAGTGTGTTAACTATATTTCAATTCTTAAAAACCTTACATGGGGAAAAAAAATTATTTATCTAAAAATAAAGTCTGTATTTGAGAGGTTTTATAAATGAGGAAAGTGCAGCTCTGTTTTCCTAATTACACAAGCTTGCTAACCGAACTGCTAGCTCTCATATAAAGGATTTCAAGGGTCAGAGACGGCAAATGTCTGCTCTTGCATCCATCTGATGGAACGAGTAGCTTCAGCCTGACACTTGGGCTGCTCAGCTGCCAGTCGTGCCTCTTGTAGCCAATGGCGGCTTTCTACTGGCGTGGCTCTCGGTCCTGCTTATGAGAATGGGCTGCGTGTGCTGCTTTTTGTTCCGACTCACCTCTAAATTAATTAGGCTTGAAGAAACCCTTGAATAGATGACATTTTTTTACAGTTACAAGTCACAGGTCCTTGCCGTTGCATTTCTGCTAACAAGGGAACATACTCCATTTTGTTCACTTGATTTGGTTCATTTGTGGCCTTCAAACTAAATAGTATATATTTGTTTTCAGCCTAATTAGGGTTAGCCAGTTCTTCTGTTACTTAATAGTTCCAAACCCTTTGGAGCTATTTAAGAATCATTAGTGCACAGATATAGTTCATTATATTAATAGTTTTGTAAATAAATGCAAAGTAACAAGTAAATTAATAATGAACAGGAATCTGAGTGTGAGGAAATACGTTTACTTGCAGTATGCAATGGACTTCCTGGGGATGCGAAAAGTGAAGTCTAGTCATTTTTATATATATATAAACAAATCACAAATCAGTGACTTATGAAGATAACAAATTAGATGGTCACCTGACCACATTTGTAGGCAAATGTCAGTTACAAGAAAGGCACTAAAGATGTGTATTAAGTTTCCACTAGAATGGACATTTGTATACACGAGTTTGCTTGTACTGGGAGGGCTGTCTCATTAATGACAGTTTAAGAGACAGTTGAAAAGAGTGAGTCTGGGGTGATTGTATCTGGCCGTGTGCTGATTAAAGATTCACTGCGGCAGGAGCTGGTCGTGAAGACACTGATTGTGGCCGAGCCTCACGTCCTCCACGCCTATCGAATGTGTCGCCCGGGTCAGCCACCAGGGAGCGACAGCGTCTGCTTTGAAGTGCTGGGATTCGACATCATTCTTGACCGCAAGCTTAAGCCCTGGCTTCTAGAGGTAAACCGCCACCACTGACCGGCTGTGGGGTCGTCGATTTCCTCCATCGGGTTTGTCGGGCCCGCAGAGGCCAACGCTCTGTAAATATGAGCGAGCAGCATTTTCACACTGCTGGATTTTTTGGATACAGACCTGTTTAAATGTGCAAGTGACTCTGACATACGTGGTTTCAAAGTACACTCTTTTAAATGCAGTTAAATCATGAAATAAATGGCGAACAAATGACCATTAATAAAATATTGTAAATAGGGGGCATAAGCTTTGATTGAATTAAATTTGTCCGTTTATGTGGACATTAATGTATGCATTAAAAAGTCTGGGAAGTGTACTGTACCTTTAATGTAGCATTGATTACAAATATTAGGGTACAATGCCTTGCTACTGGGAAGCTGGTGATAAAATTGTAATTTTGCAGGAAGTATGACATACTGTAATCCCCTCATTTCCTGCTTTGCCTGCTTGAGTCTCTCACACCTTTCGGTCTCCGTCGGCGTGCTAAGTGATACCTGATGTGCCTATTGGTAATCATTTCTTGTCACGGTGCTGCAATACCTAAAAGGCTGCTTTGTGTCTGAAATGTTAATTAGCTGCGTAAACCCCAAGTTCGTAAGTCATGGGAACACAGTACGTGTCGTACATTTGACGCATTGGCTGCAGGGACCTCGGCGAGAGGATTTAGGAGCTGTGATTTGTGGGGGTGTTATGTGCTTTAATTTTAAACCTAAAGCACCGTTCTCAGCAATAAAGCGTAATGGAAACATTGTCTGGAGCTGTGCTGTCTGAGAGCTCTCTCTGCAGCAGTTATTCAGCGAGATTAAGGCTGGCCTGTCCACGGGATCTCTAATTTAACTCGGGATGTGTACATAACAGTAGCAATAAATTGCCAGCGATAAGATATAAACCGGAGAGGAAAAAGGCCCCCAGATAGGCTGCCCTTCTCGCCCGACAGCAGCGTATATCTCCGATGCCGGCGCCGTACATGGCCTCACACGAGCGTTCAGAATATAGGTCAGAGCCGCAGGTTTTTCCGGGTCCGCTACCACAGAAACTCAAGTCCTCTTTCTGTCAAGCAGTCGCCGTGGCCCGAGATCCGGGCCGGGTTTTCCGCCCTACCAGAAGTGCTCTCGACGAAGGCGACGACCTAAATCTTTTAACCCAAAGTGCTGGGCTCTTTTTTATATACCAACAGACTGACTGGAGGATTTAAAATGCCTTTGGGATAATTGTTTGTGTTTATCATTATACGGCGGAAAATAACTCCGTACGAAAGCTGTTGTTTTGAAGAAAGGGGAGCCTTTATCGGCATTTCGGCAGGGATGCCAGGGAGCGTGTCTCGCAATACTCTGCTTTTCCAAGTTTTTTTTTTTTTTTTTCCCCCCCTTTTTCCCGTGGCTGAATGACAAAAGGGCACAAAGTGAGACGTGCTCAATGACTGCTAATGCCTTTGGTCGCAAGCTTAGAGCACTGCAAGTAAAAAAAAAAAAAAAATGCAAAGAGCAATAGATGCAGTTGTTACACTTCACTGATAATGATACCCTGAGTACACTGCCTGTCTGCCATAAATCTCATCAATTAACATCCCTGCAAGTTCCACATGGAGAAAGCAGCTTCTTTTTCATGGTACATTTACGACAACAGCAATTTATTTCCAAAAATTCAACTGTTTAGTCTAGAGACATTTCTAAACAAACTAACCTTTGACCCATTTACATAGCTCTCTACCCAGCAGGATTTGAAATGTTCTCTTCTGTTAAAAACCCAGGACACAACCCATTACACTGCACAGGTACATGTAAGATTAGCCTAATTAATGTATTTCCCCTGACCACGTTGTATGTATATCTGTGGGTTCCATAATGAGTAAGAAATATATTTCTCGTGAATGTTAAGGCTAATCTTTGTTGTTTAAATGTGTGAGTTTTAAGGCTGCTCAAGTTACCATACTGTGGTCACTGTAAATTAGACAGTCTGTGATGTTAGGCATTCACCATCATAGTTGCCCCTTTTTTGTTTTTCTTCTCCGTCTTTTACCCTCAGACAGCACTATTTTGGCAACAGACGAGCTCAAAGACGGAAATGAAACTTCAGACCAAATAAATTCTGACCGTGTACCCGAGAGGTAGATGGTATCGCATAAAGTAAATGTCAAATACAATTCTCTTTCTGTGAGGGTGCATTTCCAGAAAAAGGGCGTGATTGCGGCCCGCATCGTGAAATTACGCCGAAAAGTCACCATCATTTTGACAGGGTAATTCACATGTGTAGTTTCGCAAACAACTCTGATTAAGGACACCGAACAGATTTCAGCTTAGTGATTTGAAAATGAAAAGGTACAAAAGAAATCACCGGCTACAAAAATATGGAAGACAAATCACAATGTGCACGCACCTGCTGAAAATGACTAAATGTTACTTGAACAAGCATTAATCAAACAGAAGGGAATAGTAGGCTTCATCCATAAAACAAGGATCAGACCAGCTCTGTTTGATTCCCATTGTGGCTGTGGGGGTCTCATTTTTCCTTGTTCCTCCACTGGATAGTAAACAGCATCTTTCTTCTCCATACACATCTGCATGCACGCAAAGACATTTCCATTTGGAGAATTAGCTAGCACTGCATCGTTTGATCCGCTTTCTATTCATCTTCTCTTTGGTTTCTTGCGTGCGTACGCTAACTGAAGTGCAGTTCTCAATGTAATTGCCACACTGGCTAGTAATCTGGAAGTTTGCTGCTGGGAAACGCCAGCTGGGAATTCGAACGGTATTGATCGAGCTGCCTTTACCCTTAGGTAAAATACGGTATCTCAGCATGGCACTGATGTAGCCGCCTGGGGTTCTTTGACTTCCCGCAAGTCTTTCTAGGAACTGGTCACATCGGAGAGGATAAGCTAGCATGACAAATAATGTTACAGTAGTCGACAGGAAAATATTCAGGACACACAGTTGGTGGAAATAAGAGACAGTACAAGCAAACTGCCCCTTTAAATCGCACGCCTGTCGCTCGCTCCTGCTGGAAATTGACGCTGAGCTTATTTATTGTTTTATGAATCGGTGGTGGTTTTCTGGCCGGCACAACTCAGTACAAGGACCGATTGCGGTGTTCAGCCTCATTAAAGCTCTGTGTTTGTGGGGGTTTCCAAAAATACAGCTGGTTTTCTAAATAAAAGCGGGGGAAAAAAAGCATTTTCAGCTAGCAGGGTAATTACGAGGCTGGTGGAAGGCCTGCGCGGGGCTGTGTCTTGCAGGATCGCGCTTGTTAGCAAGCGGCCGCGTGTCGGACCCCGAGTGTTCAGCGGGGTGTGCTCTCTCTTCAGGGCATTCCCTTATGGAACATGTGTGACTGTTTTGATCAAGCCCAGCCTTGCTTTCAGGCGGAAGGGGTAGAGGGGGACCTAATTTTTACCATACGAGTGTCGCTCACACTCGCGCACACACAACAAATAAGTGAAATAACAACAGAGCCAGTGTTTTATTCCTTTTTTTGTTGCACCCAAGTGTTTTTTGAGGGCCTGAGAGAGAACGCATTGCTGGTTTATTGTAAAAGTTAGGCCGCCATCGGCATTGTGCAGCCGAGTCTGTGGCCTAATTGCGCGCCCTTTGGGGGTGGGGGGTGCGGCGAGTGATTGGCATCTAATGAGCCAGACTTGGGTCAAGCGTGCTCGGGGTGTTTGTTGGGATGGTGACAGCTCAGACTGCACCCTGCGGTGGTCATGCCACTTTCCTCTCCCGATTGTTTCAATATGAGTTTGTTTGTCCTTTCCTGAAAGCCAACACAAGCCAGACTTCCTCCCTTCCCCAGGAATGAACAGGCATGATCTGCAACAGCAAGCATAAACAAACGGCCTGTTTTTTAGGCTCACACAGAAACACTTTTGATCTTGTGGGGTTCTCCTCTGCCTCAGAATAGGTTATTTCCTCTCTTTTCTGTCTGCTGAACCCTTGTAGCCGCAGTTATTCTGAAATTATTCTTAAAATATCCCCTGTTTATGTGAGGGACTTAATAGCTTACAGTTACGTAACTGTGTTTAAAAGAACATTTCAGATATGAATTCTGCATATAATGGAGATGAGAAAACAATGCAGTTATGGTGCTATTACATTTCTCTATGTACGGTAATGGCAGGAAAAATGCAGAAATGCATATGGAGCATTTCGAAGAATGTGAAATGCCAGCACACTAAAGATGTTCTCATTTTGTGGCATAATTTTATCCCTTTAGCTACTATTTTGTGCTATAAAAACAATCTGATTTGAATTGTATGTAGAATATTATACAAACAACATTATATGCATTAGCTCTATTCAATGCAATTTTTACAATTATGTTGCAGACGAATTTCTTTTTAATATTTAGTTTTTATCGGTGTATTTTGAATGGCGTCACATAGGTGGCAGCATTCACCTCCTCTTCAAACTGCCTTGCCTTTAAACAGCCTTGCCTTTAAACTGCCTCACTAAAAAGGCAACATTTTCCGATGGTCCACTTTATGTTCCCATCTATATCTCTGTAAACTGAAGCGTTCTATTTTTCGGTTTTCAGAATTAGTAAGAAACGATCAGATTACTTGGTCTGCCTTACGGAAAATCGTAAGCACTCTTTAGTGAAGGCTGGGTGTTAGTGTGCAGCGGCTCGAATAGGATGGCAGTGTTTGGGAGGCTGATTCATTGTGGGGGTGACGTACGATACTGCTTGTTTGGTGCCTGGTTCTTAGTCACCACCCTCAGCCCTCACCCTTCATTTTTGTTGTGTTGATGCTTAATTATAAAATAGTTTTCTAGGAATATCCATTATATCAGCAGTCATCCTTTTCCTCTTGGCAATTTTAAAATTAAATTAAATTTTAGATTAAACTTACCGTAATAAAACGCTTTATATCCCATGCTTTGAATTGAAAGGACGCAACTATTCTGTATATGAGATGTGCTGCCGGCCTATGTAGCATGAAAGTTGATGATTCAATTATGGCAGTTTTGTTTTCCACCACATTTCGGCCAATAAAATGCGTAGTTCAAAATATACATTTGTTGCATTTTCTGCAGTAATTGAAACAGTTTCATCATTTATTCATATATTGAAAACAAATGTTTGCATTGGGGGTAAAGTGTGCTGAAGTGAAGTTACAACCAGTGAAATGTGACCTCTGTACCTGGAAATATCAGAAGCCTACGTACAGTATGTATTAATTCCGAAGAGATCCTGGTGCGGCGGTGTGAAGGTGCGATTTCACCTTGAGCTGAGTAAAAGAAGAAATACAGAGAGGAATGTAGTAGATTATTGGACATATTTATTAAATGAGCTTCACTTTTATTTTTTCCTTTTGTTGCAAATATTGGAAGGTTGAATCGCAAGCCGCGTTTATCTGACATTTGTATTGAATGCCTATTTGTACACGGTGTCTTTCAGCTCCTGCCAAAGACACTTAAGGAAATCACGACAGGGTCTTAAATGCTACCGGGGTTCATTAGCCCTGGACTTCCTCAGTGAGGAGTCTGGTGCTTTGCCAGCCTCATTCTTTCTGCATGACAGATTGACACTACAAATCACACAGAAAAAATTAGACAGAAGGAAAAAAATCCCTAGGATTATGCAGGGCAGCAGTCCTAACTGGGATTTTTCTTGCCTTTTTTGTTCTTTTCTGGATGGAATGCAATTTTAAACTTTTTTTTTTTTCCACACTTCATTGCTCCTCCCCCCGCCCCCCCCCATCTCGGAGACATTTGAATGTTGGATGCATTTAGGATACGGGGCTCCCTGCTCTCTAAGAAGGGTGAATATCCAGGCGTTGCCTCTGTTAAATGCCTGACGAGAGAAAGATCTCCGCAGCTCCCATTCCGCAGAACTTAATGAGCCTTCTTTGTTATTTCGCCGAAAGCAGCCATCTGCAGCTCGCCGTTCCTTGGGCAGCGCTGCGTCGCTCCTGGTTGGGGACGAAGAACGTTCTAGAGTTACGGTCACTACAGTCAATTCATTCATTTAGCACTGCGCTCAAAGTTTTTTGTTTTTTTTTTGTTTTTTTTCCTCCCCTCCCCCCTCTTTTTTTCCCACCCTGCACCCAGTTGTGATGTAAATATTATCTTACAGCCAGCTTCTAAGTCTCACACACATCAGTAACTACCTTTGTGTTGGGGATTAACATCCAGCCAGGCTAGATTTACCCAGGCCCAGAGAGGATTTGCGTGTCTCCCCTGCAGCACTGCATCAGAGGAGAGTGCACCATTGCAGCCCGTTTCCAACCATTATAAACGTGCCATTTAATGACACATCTCATGCACAGAGCATATGATATGCCTTACTGTGGTTTTAACATCGCCGTCAATGTACGAATATATATAAAGATGTATTTTTAAATCGGCATAAACCAAAAAATGTGGAATGGGATTAACACCTTTGTAAAACCTTTTTAATGTTTTAAGTCTGTTGTTTTTTTAAAGTTTTATCATGCAAGAGAAGTGCGTTGGTTGCCAGGTTTTTTTTTTTATATGATCTTTTTGTTTTTTTCTTCTCCCTCATTCGTCATAACTCTATTGCATCATCGGCACATTAGTGTATGACAGAAACACTGCAAAGGGACGAAGAGGGGGGTTGCCGTTGGGGGAGAAGCTATCTGATTGCCTGAGGATTGTAAAACGATCCAGTCTTTAGCCGAGTCTGTGCCACTTGAAGTAAACTGTCATTTGAACTCCCTTTTTGGTAGAAATCAATTCAATCAGCATTATTCTTGATATGTTAGCTCCTTTGTTGTATTCAACAATCCCTGAGCCATCCGGAGGAGGGATAAAAAAATCAATTTGTCCTGCTACAAATAATACCCGATACCTGAATTCAGTACACCGACAAAACTCCAAATTTTATTTAAAAAAAAAAAAGGACCTCGTTCTTGAATTCCCTGACATTGTCAGAAATGTGACAGTAAAGTAAGTAGGGCATTTTTGGAGTGATTTTTGCTCGTATTTGACACTGGCGATAAATTTCAGCCATGCGTGATGTTACTGATATTCGGAGATTGACTCATATTGCCTCATGGGATAGCAGGGGGCAGGCCCTTCACCACACGTAGAGATGGCCTGCTGTCCCGGCTGATCAGATGACAGCTTCCCAGACGAGGTCACATGTCACAGAGCAGGCCTCGTAGATTATATGTGGGCGGGGACATGCGTCTGGGCGAGTGGGGGCTCTTTTCAATGCCGCGAAAATGCTTTTTTAATGCAAAATTAATTATCTTCCAAATGTTGCATCCTAGATAAATCGTGCGCCGAGTTTTGGGACAGATCAGAAGATTGATTACGACGTGAAGAAAGGGGTCTTGCTTAATGCACTGAAGTTGCTGAACATCAGGTAATACCCTGTCATAGCGCTTTGTGTGAGCTGTCTACACATCACCTACGGTATCCCAAAGGGCTCATTAAGGAAGAGGCAAAAGTTAAATAAAAGGCTTCCATGTAACTTTTACATTTACTTTATGCTTCCACTTTAATTAGTTACTTTAATTTAATTTTGCCCCTTAAATAAAAGGATTCAGAGTTTTATGAGACATCTATTGTCCCTCTCAATACAAAAAATAGCGTGACATTTTTTTTTCTTTTAATTTCTTGTTTATGTATTGCGGCAAAACGTTGGAATTTTGTAATAAGGCGAACAGAAAGACATGGCTGGTCCTGGTGGATTGCCGATTGCGTGCATTGTGGTCTGTACAGTCTGAGCGTTTCTGCCTGTGTGTGAGTGAGGGAGAGACTGTGTTTATAGAAATGGCTGTGGTTATAGATCTAATCTTCAGCTATAGTGTTCCCACGATATGTCCTCCACCAAACTAAATATAGACTAATGGTTCTGCATTAGGACAGACGAAGTATATTGATTGCAAGGTGGTATATTGGGTTTATATATAGTAATGAAGTGTTATTGAACTCCATATAATACCTACTGACAGACAGCTTTATTAAATTAGTCTTATATTTATAAAAAAATTTATTAGTTTTTGATGTAGCTCTAATTCTTTTTCAATACAACACACTGCTCCAATATCATGGCTCTGTCATGGTAAACATTGTCTAATTAAAACATACTCCGTGACTCCACACCCACTGTACGATTTTAATTGACATACAGGCGGATTAGAGTTTCAGGGAGTGAACTTGTGATCGGACTGGGAATAGACCTGTGATTTTGGGACAGAGTGCTCACATGAAGCGGAAAGGTGCTGTCTGCGGACCAGTCGTAGCCCGTGTCCCTTCTCACTGTGCCCCCAGAGGAAGCGACCGGAAGCGCAACCTGGCTCAGCAGAAGGCGGAGGCCCAGCGGCGGCTGTATGGACAGGGCTCCACGAAGAAGCTCTCGGCGGCCTCGTCCGAGTGGGAGCGCCAGCGCCACACCCTGGAGAGGAGGCGGGAGGAGCTGGTCTGTCTCTACCCTGTCCGTCTGCTTACCCACACTTAGGTCTTCGGTCTGGGGTCTGGGGTCTGGGGAATTCCCTCTCCCCAGTCCCCCGCATCTTTTACCCCTGACCTGGGTTCAGTTGCTACCTGTCTGGCTGCCCAATCAGCCGTTCCTTTTCTTTGAATTACAAACAGTGTGATTGTTAGCCGACTGCTAATAGGTAGTTGATGATGGGTCTGATATTTGACATCACAGGTTGCAATGGGAGGTACAGCGGGGCATTTTTCCGCCCGGTCTTTGTGATACATTAACACCGACTACGTGGGGCAGAACCCACAAAAATAAGGTGCGGGACCATGTCGAATCCCTGCACTCCATCTCCGGCTTCAGTAACAGCTCTAACGGTGAATGCATTGCTCTGCATTTTAATGTAGATCCTGGGCAGCGTATAATAGGAACACATGCTCCTCTGTTCCCAGAAAGAAAGACTCGCCCAGGTCCGCAAGCAGATCTCCCGGGAGGAACACGAAAACCGGCATCTGGGGAACTACAGGTACGAGGAAACAGACTGAAGCTCCCACGGGAACTGATTCTGGCTTCTGCTTACATTTACGGGGTCGTTCGCCGAGCACCTCGCTCCCGGGGGGGGGTGGATACACGCCGTTGAGAAGGATGTGAAGTCCGTGGAGCGGGTCGGAGATTGCCGGGTGAACAGGTGACGCCTCTGCTTGGCGTTGGACATTGCTGTCATTTTTCTCTCCTGTGCTGATAAGGATTAAAGAAGACTGAGCAGATGGTTATTATATTTAACTTGTGATGAACACGTACGACTTGAGGTCGACAGTTTTGATTTCTATTGTGGAGAGAGGAGTGTGCGCAGCGGAATCGGGAGCGACCTTGCTCAGCGATGCTGTAACCTGGGCTGAAGTCCTCTTTTAGTACATCTCCACGGTTCTCATGTTTCAGGGACACTTAGGAGCTTGCTCCCTGTGCCACCCCAAGTGTTTTTTCATCATCTTTAGGCATTGGGGGATACCTCTACGGGAAATTAGGTTCAGTGAAAACCTCAGAACGACACGTGCATGACGTTTTTTTGGGATTCGCCGCGAGAACGCGCACGTTGAAACAGATGTTATTTTAGTGGATGACTTTTGGGAGACCTTTGAAATTGGTCCGTTTTAACTAATGTTACTATTTCTAGTAGAGTACCTTCCTAAAAACAACGATCGGATATGCTGAAGCATGAAGAATGTCTCCCAATGAAGGTCGCCCAGATTGTGTTGCCAAACTAACCCCATATAACGGCAGACATGCGCCACATTTGAAAAACTTGCCACATAAGCTGATTTTTTGCACTTATACATCTTAATACAGCTTGTTCATTACATCTTAACGCTGACATCGTTCATTCTTGGAGTTTAGGGCAGGCTGCCATAGATTCATGACTAATATCTGAAAGCACAATGTGTCTACCCTCATACCCCTGAATTAAAAGTCCTTGATTCCACTCACCTTGGTTATTGTTTGGATTAATGCTCTTAGATGTCAGATGCTAAAGGAACGGAGGAACAGTCTGCAGCTATAGGGATTTTATTGCTGTTTTCACACCCATATGTGTTGAGATGCCCAGTACAGAGCTGCTGGTGGTAAGTCCCAGGGCCATCAAGCGCACCAGCATCTCACTTCGGGCTGAGTGTAATTGACTTATCTTTTGATTTCTGAGGTCCTTTTCGTGAGAGTGATGCTCCCCCAACACACACTAGGCGAGAGCGTGACCCCATTTGAATATTAAACTTTCCTTTTCGCCTTCTCTTCTCACCAACAGACGCATTTACCCCCCAGATGACAAGCTGCTCCTGGAGAAGTATGAAAGCCTCCTCTCCACGGCCTTTCAAACCTTCCTCGCCGGGCGAGCAGCTTCACTTCAGAAAGAAATGAATAATCCTCTGAAACGAATGAAGGCGCGTACTTTAGAATCGGCTGGCTTTGGTATTCGACAGCGCACACACTCCCGCGGATCCCCGTAAACACGCACGCACCCACACTCTTCAGCTTCTGCTTTGCCCCTCTCCAGCGGGGGAAAAAAATAAAGATATGGCAAGAAATTGCAGCAGCTTTACTGTGTAATTGTCACCACATCATTGACCGTGGAATTGTCACCGCAATTGTACGTGGTGTGACGTTTATTTTTTTCCTTTCTCTCTTTTAACCATCTCAGAAGTGTGCAACACACCTTTCACTGCTTTCCAGTGGCTGCTATACATCTGCCCTCTCTTACATCCCTTGTCTTGAAGTGTTTGCTCCGAGGATCTTTCGCTGAAAGTCTGCCATTTTTTTTTCCTTCCGAAAAAGGTTTTTCAAAGGGACCATGCTCTCTTAATGCGTCCCATTGTTTGAAAGTTGTCGTAATGCAAGAGATATGAGGGCCCTGTGATTTGGGGATCTTTTATTTACAAGGAGACTATTGATAAACTTCAAGGCTCTGCGTGCGCATGTGTTTTTGTGAAGGGACTTAGGAAGCTGTGAAAGGTTTTGTTCACGGGGCGTTGCAGATGGAGGACTGCATTGGCCTTCTCTGATACTCCGTCGCGCCGAGAGGGAGATGGCATGTGTGGGGACGACTCCTACTGAGCCAGTGTCTGCTTAGGCCGGGTAATAAACAGGAGATTACGGCGAGCACACTGTGTTAGCCTCTGACCTTTTAGCTCGGAAAACCTGTTCAGAAGCTAGCTCTTTAGCCGGGACCGCGGGCGTGTGGCACCTGTGCCTCTCCGCTGTGCGTTATCAAAAAGGAAACCCTGCACGGAGGTGGGCGAGGCTGCTTTATTTTAATGACGCTTGTTAAAAAGCTGCAGTAACACCTTATCGGGCTGGCATGATTAGGGGTGGGAATTTATGTGCTTTGTGCTTTTTTTTTTTTTTTAGGAGGAAGATATCTTGGATCTTCTAGAGCAGTGTGAGCTGGACGATGAGAAACTCATGGGAAGATCATCCAGGCAGAGGGGGCCTAAGGTAATAGTCATGCTGTCAGAAACACGCTGCTTTACAACATACTTTCATCTGCCGCACACTCACAGTTACAACTGTAGGACATCGATAGGACTCTTCGCAATATCGGCTTCATTTTCTGAAGTTTCCCCGAGCAGGAATTCTACAGCTGAAAGGGGAAAAGCCATTATGAGCCCCGATGATATTGTCGGGCAGTTCTGAGCCATATTAAACCTCTACAAGGATAACTACTTGTTCCAGCACAATTGCTTTTCTTGAAGCTAATTTCTGTTTGTGACTTTCAGCCATGTGAGGCGTAAGTTGATTTTTGTGGCCCTCTGGACTTTTCTGAGTGCCGAGATGGACATATGCACTCCCCGGAGTGTATTATGAACCATCTGGAAAGATCGGGGGAAGAAAAGAAATTAAGTCGTTAAAATACAGCATGTTTTGACTTCATGGAAGGGGGTGGGGGGGGCGGAGAAGCAGAAACGTGAATGTGCTCTGCCAGCTTCCTCCCTCGATGACAGTAGCGCGCGCGCGGCTGTGCTCGTGCGTCACGTGAAGCGTAAGTCAGCTGACGGACGTATGCAAAGTGCTCCCTGAGTGCTGGCTGCGCGGAGGCCATATTCAGTTCAGTTAGTTTTCTAGTGGAGGAAATGATTTATTCATTCAGCCAGCGAGCCAGAGGAGGACTGGGACTCGTTTTTGTATTGAATTAGCGCGCCTTCGTCGTTGCATTTATCACAGCAGACTGTCCCCTCATCATCTGGGCTCATGTCGGCCCGCTCCGTCCCCCGCACACCATCCCCCCCCCCCCCCCCCCCGGCAGCCCCTGCTTTGCCGAGTGACAAATGGTAATTGGAGGCAGCCCGGGGTTGTGTCCGTTAACGCCGAAATCATCATCTGCCGACGTCTCTATTTCAGCCCCTGTCCTCCATGCCCGAGAGCACCCCGGGGCCGAGGAGGCAGAGAGAGGGCAGCACCAGTAGCAGCTGCAGCGACAGCGGCTCGTCGGAGTCCGACGAGGGAGACGGGGGCGATCTCCTGGACAAGAGAGACAAGGGGGTTTCCCACCACCAGCGGGAGAACAAGTGCGGCTCCCCAGAGCGTTCCAGTAAGGACCGTTTCCCGCTTCCTGTGCCGCACACCTTAAAGGAGCAGCCCGCCAGCTTTGTTCCCAGTCGAGCAATCCCCGATTTCTCATTTTTAATAATATTTAACTCCGTTATCTGATATTCCCCCCTGATGCGATCCAGATGTCCACGTTGGCAGTTTATATTGCAAGTAACAAGCTGCTGTCGTAGTAACGCGCAGCTTTACCATGCCAATCAGTTAACTGGTTTTGGCTGTTCCGGACAGCGCGAGCACAATGCGGGGTTCTGGCTGAAGCGTCTGTTTACCCTTCTATTACGCAAGGTAGAGGAAATCTGTCTCAAACGTTAAGCGGGCAGAGATTCGGCGTTCCTGTAAAATATATGTTTATTATAGATGTTCACCGCAGCATGAAAAAGAGTCCAAAAAACTAACATAGAACCTCGACGTGAAATTTCATCTTGTTTGACTGAAATGGTCTGGAAATCTCTGCAGTGTGTTGAAATATGTGTCTTTCTTTATTTTTCTTGTTTATCACAGGCATATTTATACATAAACGTAATATATGTATGGTTAGCTTTTCATCAGCAGTGTATATTCTTCTGCTGTTTTTCTGACCTTTAATCCATGTGGATTTTTATATCGTAATATGTACTGAAGAATATTATTATTTACGCAAGTGATCTAGGAAGAGATGTATCTGCTTCATAATGAAGGACAAAGACATGATTTGGCTGGATTTCTGGGAGCATGCCGCAGTGACTTTGAGTACGCGCTCCCTCTAAACCCATCTAGGGGTGGACTGAGCTAAGCTCCATAATGCGCTAGATCTGGCAACATCCGTCCCTCAAGGTTCAGGAGTGGAACAGCAAACACTGGCGGATGGTCAAACTGGAGGGCGTTCAATGTTGACCTACTGGGTGGTGTGCGGGCGGAGCAGACTTTCTAATCTGAGCTGAAGAGGGAACAGACTGGGCAGCGGGAGTAACGCGTGGTCCTGTGATTTATGGAAGGCCTCCCTGCTGAAGCAGTGACCCAGCCGCGGTTGTACGAAAAGCAGCCCCCGGTAATGCAAACAATCCCCATGTGCGCTAGCTTATTTGCGTAACCGTGTATTTTTGCGCTCTGTTTTTTTTGGGAATAGGCAGGGTGCACTGGAAACCTCCCGTCAAGCCGGCCAAAGCCACGCCTTCAGTGTCACCCGCCCTGTCTGGACCAATCCGCCGCTCCATCTCCTGCCCGCGCTCCATCTCCTCGTTGACGGTGCAGTCACCTACGAACGAGCCACGCACGTTCGCGCCGAAGCCCTCTACGCCCACCCTGCGGCCGAAATCGGCGTCGCGCTCGCATTCACTCAGCCGGAGCGGATCTGCCGGGCGGGTGCCCCACAGCAACAGCCTGGGGATCATCCACACCAACATGACCAGCGTAAGAGAGCGCAAGCACAAGCACGCCGGCCCTGCCACGCTAAGCCTCCCTAAAGCTGCATCCTGTTTACTACCATAGACCATTTGTAACCAGTCCTATCAACTGTATAAAACAGATACATTTTCTTCACTTCAAAAAAATGTGCTCTGCATAGCAATTGCCTACAAATGAAGCGTAAGCTATGTGGCTTCAGGGCTATTGCGCACATTTCTTGTTATCTTACAGCAATCCGTGGCTCCATCCAAAGTAAAATATTACACACTGGTTCATCAGACATAACAGGCATTTCCTCGTGGACAGGCCTGAAGGATAGCCGTCCTGAACAGCCCCGAAGCACCGGCCGCTTCTGAAGCGCGCCGTTGGGGTGCCCCACTGTTACAGCTAATGTGTCTAGCAAGATGCTTTCTCCAAGAGTGGTTAATTAAAAACGTTCATGTGTCATCGTCATTGGCGTTTTTTTTTTTTAATGTTCCGATCAAGGGAGAGTCCCTGGTTAACCTAAGAACGAAGGAACAGGAGGCAGAATTGACACGGCAGACCCTGGCCGCTCTGAACGAGATGAGGATCCGCTTTGCGGGAAAGAGCGAGGAGGAGGCAGAGATGCTGCTGAACGAAGTGAGTGTGCCGGCTAGTAGTACTAGGGGCATAATGGGCAGAGCTCCCATCTCTGACGACTCCACTTTCATTCATCATCTTATGTTACCTCTATACTTTTGGCCAATCAGCAAAAACAACATTTAATCAAAAAGACTAGCGTGAAAGTGTGAAGTGTGAAAATAGGGTTATGACGTTCCCCAGTACTACATTTTTTATAGTAGCTAAGGGCGGGAAACTGGACCCAGCTGGTGCCGTGACAGCAATGACAGGGTGCCATTTAATACCATTCAGATTAAACAATCCGTCCATCTTCATCCTGGGTCTTCTTGTCCGTTAGATTAAGTAGGTATTAAGTACAGCATACGTAAACAAATTGCGAATCACATTTAATACAGGCCGAGAGAATTTAGCAGTCCGTCGCTAATATGTAAATTGTTACTGTACTTCAGTGCTTGGTAATGCATATTTAATTCCTAAAACAGTACATGTCTTATAAATCATGTATAAATTATCACGTGTTGTTCCTGCTTTTCATTCTTGGCATAATGATTAAACTAACATTTACTGTAATTACAGTAAAATCTGAAATAATGCCATTAAATATTATCTTTAAATTCTGATTTCCTTGTCAAGGTAAGAAATTTCACATCTGCTTATTCATTCATTGTGGCTTTCCATGGGCACGTGATGCATTAGTTAATTGCCATCATATTGTCAATTTGTGATGTTAATGGCTTTACGTATAGATAGCTTGAGAAATTAATAGTAAAAGATGAGCCCCTTTTGACAGAGTTATGCTAGTAAACAGCCATAAAGAGTCAATTTCAGCTGTTAATGCTGAATTTCTGGCTGTGAATAAAGTAATTAAATCCCCAACAACAACAGCCGAATATACTGTATCACGCCTGTCCAATCAATATTGTCACGATAATTCCCTCTTATCATACATGTGCAAAAGTTACCTCTCGCCACAAGTGCACACCCTCATCCTCTTATCACTGCTGCCTGTCACCTAGTAATCAGTCTAGGACTCCTCATGTGTCTACTTAACACTGAGTGAATAGGAAGTTCTGTGTAGCTTTTTTATTATTATTCTTTACAGTAAAGCTGGTGCCACGTCATGAATATCAGTAAAATGGACTTCACTCAGAATAGGTGTGGAGCAATTCTGCAGATTTTTGTGTGTACAATGGCAGATATTTAAATTTGGTCTAGTCCGATCATGGCAGAAGTGAAATAAGGTGAAAACTAAAGCGCAGTAACACACTTCTTCCAGTTGGATTAGTGTCTTTTAACCAGCCTGGTGTTGCCAAGCATTTACATGCTCTTAATGTGATTGGCTTATTTCTGCTGCTGACCACCTAACAATACCTGGCTGAAAGCCCAGGCTAATTTTATATGATATTTTTTCAAGGTCTTTGCTAAGGCATAAGCATTAAAAACAAATTCTTTGGAGAAAAAATATGTGAAAGGAAAGATATGAAAGGAATGTAAGAACTACTGTATAGTATCCACATAGAATATGTGATTCTTTCTGTAGACTTTAAAGCTTTTAACAGTAACACTATGGTTTGTTAAAGTATGAGATTTATTTCATTGAAACATGTTTCTGAATTTCTGTGGCTCGAAGGTCCTGGTTGTGTAGTGTTTATGGTAATAACAGTAATGTGATGGTAGGTGATACAGTTCAGATGTGGAAAGAGAGAAGCACTAAAGATTATTAGAGAAACAGTGTTGATTAATATTTTACATGAGGACAGAAAGTCGCTGATTAATACATTTTTATTGAAATATGAATTCTCTTTTAAGTCATTATTCTTTGTGTAAATTATAATGTTTCATTTTTATATATTTTAATATTATTTTCCTTTGAAATATACTTTTTATCTCTTCTTTTGCAGATATTGGATAACTGGAAATACCATAAACCAAAAGTGGCCTCTTACTGGTTGGTGAAATTAGACTCAACCAAACAAAGAAAGGTATGTGGCTTTTTAAGACTTCTAGACTTCAATTATAAAACCTAATCACGACGATGATTAAAATGTTAATGTCTACATTTATTTTAAATATGTTACCAGTCAGCAGATACAGGATTAAATAAACATGAAGTGAGCGTGTGAGGCATGTGTAGCCTCTGGAAACGTGCTCTCCTGCATCGTAAGTCCCACAGACGAGATGGAACTCTTGGTCCACTTTGTGCCATTTCTGACAGGGACAAGTCAAGCCTGTCTGGAAAGGTGCACTCTGTCACTATGAGCGATATCATTAAAGCTGGCGTATGCGATACACATCATATCACGGACGTCAATAAGAAGAGAAGTGGATTCAAAGGGCTAAACTTATGGCCTTGAGCACAGAATAGAACGGGGGGGGGGGGGAATCCTCAAGTGGCGAGGAACTTTTGACATGATACCTCAAGATTGACATCCGCTGCAATTACTCCTTTCCGTTTACCACTGCAGTTTAGGCTTTAGCACGGCTCTTAGGATCCCTTTCCCCAAACGGCTGTCTAATATCCCCTTTTCACAGAGGAAGGATAATTAAAGTGTGCTCTCATTTTTTACTGCCTTGCGAGGGGATCGTGCTGCTGTATTACCTGGGGAGGAGGAAAAAGTGAATGTCTATTTCCAACTTCATTCCTAATTACTCTATTACCAGCTGTCTTTGTGTTTTCTTCCTCCCTGTCTGCTGGCACCTGTTCGGCACCTTCCTCACTTTTGATTCTGTGTGTGTGTGTGTCTTATTCTTTTTTTTCCATCAATATCCCATGTAAAGGTTTTGGACATCGTTCGCACCAACGTACGCTCCATGCTGCAGCGGATCTGGAGGGAGCCTGACGTGGACAGTTTGCATCTATACCGCATTTTCAGTCGTGTCTTTAATCGTCTGCTCTGGAGCCACGGCCAGGGGCTGTGGAACTGCTTCTCCAACTCCGGGTAGGTGCAGGGTCACCGTCCCAACACAGTCCCAATCTCTGTTAACCATATACTTCAAAGAGTAGAAGAAAACCTATAGTTTAGTAGCCGAAGCTGTATCCTCATTCCGTTTCTTCTTTCATGCACTTTCTCCCTCTGCTGTCGGATGAATAATGGATGGTAGAGCCTTTTCCTTCTCTTTGTCCTGCGCTAAACGGGATAAGGACGATCACCCTTCTGGTGCTAGGATATGAATTAAGCAGCGCAAAGATTCTGACAGTGAGTGATATATGAAGCGTTGACGCTCAGTGCCACGGGAAAGTTCCGCAGGCTTCCAGACGGCTTATTTTAGGTAACAGCCTCCTTTTTGCCACCCTGTTGTGAGGTATTCCGGATTTTTCTGTTGACTGATGCACATTTTCTCCCATCTTAGCCAATTAGCTCCATAGCTCTGTCAAAGTTGTTGTTCTTCTCACAGTGGCGGGCCTCACCGGTTCTCTTGTCAAGCCTCTTTCGGTTTAGATGCATGTGGGCAGTGTGTCTCTATTACAATGGTAAAATGCGGTTGTTAAAAAAAAGAAAAGGGGAGAAAAAAAAAACGCAGACAATGATTCATAGCACGAGGCCAAAGCTGCACCAGAGTGGCGTAAGAATGCTACCAGCCTGGAGTGGCCCAGTAAATTCGGGGAACCATAGGATTTCTTGAAAACTGCTTCCAATCAGCAGAAAGCGATTTGGGAGTCCGGTGAGATATTAGCAGGACGTATTATGCTCACATGTATAGTGTATACAGCATCCCATCTTAGAGTTCATAACAGGAAAACACAATAAAGACAAAGTAGTGACATCACAGAGGGATGTAAAAGGAATAAAATTATTAATTCAAGGATTTTTCATCGCATGCAAAGTGTACAGTCAGACTGTAACCAGCAATAAAAACAAAGGTAGTCAACTATGCTGTGATAAAAATGGAAGTATCAATAAAACATTTAAAAGAAAAAAATAACAATATATAAATGCATAATAAGTAAGGAACAGAAAGTGATACTGAAAGAGAAAAAACCCAAGAACAAAAAAACAGAGATGTGCAGCGTAGCTCAAATAAAGTGGATGGTGCATGTATGAATTATAGCTGTCGTTGAGGTGTTTTAATAATCTGATAGTAATCTGGGAAAGGAAACAACAAACCTTGCAGATGAGCAAATAAATACTCATCAGCTACGGGAACTAGCTATACTTAATAGAAGCAAAACTGCAACGGTAGTGTAGAGGTGGCTGTCTGGTGAGTGTCCGCCTCGATAAGGTAGGTTGCTCCGGGTCACATGTCACTGTCCTTTAAAAGTTCATTTAATTCAGTGAATAGGGGGAAAAAAATCACGATTAGCAATTTACATCATACTGAGTGATTTGAGGTCAATTACCGTTGTTAAATGGCTGTGATGTGTCGGCGAGGGACAAGGGCTGTTATTATATTCAATGCTTTTTGTTGACGGTACTTTTATGCCGGTTGTCCTTGTTAAAACATTTGCTTTAGTGTCACTATTAATTAGCAGTTAGCATCCGCATGGACTCCCACTGTGCCCTGCATGTAAGGAAAGGTAGGACCATAGCAGAGGATGCTTTTTGTCTGTTTTATAAAGAAATACCTTTTTTCCGGCTTATTAGAGCAGTGCTTGTCTGTGTGTGTGCGTGTATGTGTGTTTTTTTTTTAAGTATTTGGCTCGTCTAGCACTGCCTGTAGATAGACAGACGTGTTGACTGTGCACCCCGGCGTTTCAGAAGCTGGTTTATTTCGCTAGTTGAGGACCTACATGCCAAAGGATTAACAATAACTCTGAAGGCTACATGCTGCTTCTGTATAGTCAGACTAGCCCCCCTGAATCACGCAGGCAGACAGTTTGAGAAAACTCTGCGTGTATGTTGTCACTTCGGTCGACCGACCATGCTTAACGTCAAAATGATTAAATAATAATCCAAATGATAACCCAAGTAATCGACTTGGCACGTTAAATTCTCTTAAAGAGATTCATAGTCAAGTGTATTATATTTTATTGAATTATAATGAATTTCATTTTCTAGGATAACAAATAAATGCAGTCTTTGACAGCCTAGAGGTTACAGAAAAGAAAATCTCAATTGAATTATCCCAACCGTGGCCGGCTCAGCTTTGTCTGACCACCGTAACTGGTTGTGCCGCCCAGCAGGTCGTCTTGGGAGACCGTCTTCAGCAAGAGCAGCGAGGTGCTGTCGCCGCAGGAGCTGCAGTGCTGCCAGAGGCTGGTGCAGCTCTGTCGGGACTGCCTGCTCGTGGTTTACAAGTTTGTGGCCGACTCCCGGGGATCGCTGACTGGCCTCAGTCCGGAGTGGGACGACACCAGGTGAGGCCGACCGCGCAGCCCTCTCCCAAAAAAAATAAAAAAATGAAAGAAATCGAAAAAGCGCAGCTCTTGAAATCCTTTGTAAGTCGATACACACATAGATCAAGGGCCTTCCTCTGGTTTTGTACGAACTTTTAAAACACAGCGGGGGTGCTCTTAAATGGAAATAATGACCTCTGGCAGGGTGCTTCAGACCTTAGATTAGTGCGCAGGCTTGTGTACCCCCTGGAGCCAGCTTAATTCAATTATGAAACAGATAAACACCGGAGGGAGCGACCTTATAAGCGCTTGTTCTTACCCATACAGAACATGACCTACAGACATCTGAGTAGCGCTACATGGGAGGGTTGATTTTAATAATAAATGCGTTATGAATGTACGAGTCGGAGCAGAATGACACGACTCTGCGAGAAGTTTAGCGTGAACAAGTTTCTCTGCGTGCATGGTCTGGGGAGAAGCTCGCCCAAATGGAGAAATATCCACATCTGTTTCTCATATTCCCTTAGCTATCATCCAGATTATAAATGGTGTGGGTATTTTGAATTTAACAATTTGCATGGACTAGAAATATAATTACCACATTTTTAGTAAGTGGAATTTAAAAAAAAAAAAAACAACGTGTTTTTAAGCATCAGTAATAAGGGCTATTTATTATTTATTTAATTATTCATTGCTGAAATCATGAAGGAGACTGGTACCTGCGAGGGGGCTTTGTGTTTTTCACCTGTCCCCCCCTGACTCCCCCCGCCTTTGCCTTATTTGGAAACATCAGATCAGCCTGGTCGCAGAGCCCGCTCTGCACCGCCTCCTACAGGCCACACGCCTTCCTGTCACCCCCCTCTCCGAATCTGCCTGCCTCTACAGGAAGACGTCAGTCTCCTTTAAACCACCTGGCATCACATGTTTGACACTCGGACGTAGGGGGGGGGGGGTGCTCCAGAGGCCAGACCCGTCTGTGACTGATCGGGACTCGGGGCTTTGCTGTACTGGCAGCGTCTGCTCTGTCTCATTCAGGGAATCACGTGCGATTATGACAGAAGCACCGAGACAGGCCGTCGCCACGCTCCGTGCCCCGTGTGGCTTGTGCCATGTCACTGACACGGTCTGCTCAGTGAGCGGCCCTCATATTCACTGGGGAAAAGGGGGGGGGGGGGGGGGGGGGGAATCCTCAAGTGGCGAGGAA